AGGCTGATAAAATGTTTACACATTCCCTGGAAGAAGGTAAGTCCCACTTCGACCTCTTCTAAAGGAACTGCTTATTGAATAAGGACAGATTCTGTTTGAATACAATGATCTGCTTCTGTTGGCAGTGTAAATAATAGCAAACTTCTGGTGGTTTTAATCATATCAAGTAGCATGTCATTCAAAAATGATTCCAGCTAATTCAATTCACACATGTAATGCACTGTACTTAAAGAATTCCAATTATTTTAATATGCCCCTGTATTTTAATTCCTTTTGAAAACAGCAATGACAAAAAAAACAACCCACCCTGTAGAGAATGCCCCAATCAAAACTTGGGACTAAAACAATTCAACCAGATTTCACCACTCTAGGTGTCACCAGTTCTGCAACAAGTCTCAGGCTCTCTGTCCAGTAATCATGTGTGTTAAGGGTATTGCAAAATAGGCTATCAGAAACAGTTTTGCTCTTGCTAGTGCTGAATCAAAAAGAGCCTTTTAATATAGAGGCAAAAATGTTATTAAAGTAGAGGCAGGCTTAAGATCCTTAATTTGAATAATCATATGGATTTTGTGTTTATAAAAGCATTTCTAGGAAATAGTGACTTTATGGCATGATTGTTACTCAGATCAAGCCTATTGTTAGAATTAAAATGGATGTAAATGTGTTCTTTTTGTTCAGATTTTTTGGCATTCAGGAAGAAATTTTTTTGCATAATGAAGAGCAGTTTTAACTATTGTCTTATCACCATTGTCTTGTTCTTTAGCCAGTTTCTGATGTTATGGCTTTCAACTTTTGATGGCATATAATCTGGATCCCTAGCTTGAGAATTACTTTTACCACTTTGATTTGAAAACATTTTTTAGTTAAATAAACACTTAACTGGACCTAGTTAAGAATATATATATAATTTTCATAGCTATTGAAGCTGGAAACCAATCTATATAGTTCTCATAAAAACTGATCAGTAGACAATACAGATCTTGAGGGGCTTTGTTCTTAAACTGAAGCTTAGTTTAACCAGTAGGTTTCAGGTCTGAGTTTGAGTCTGGTTGTTGAAGCATACAGAGACCACAAAAATAATTCAAATATATTTTTTTTTTCAGTAGAACTTTTTCTTTTTTCTCCCAAGTGTGGAAAAATAGAGGTGACAGTAAGATGTTTGAAACAGAAGTTGTCACATCCCATAGAAAGATTCTATTTCATGTTACTTCAACCATTATTTTTATAATTCTGCATACAGCAAGGAGATGTCATACCTTACCAAAGCTTTTTGCTAGCCGTGTTGCAAAAGCTATGTAAAGCAGTCCCTTTTCTATATGATAATGTAGCTGTACAACAAAATTACTTAACCTTGTTACTCTAAACGAAAGGAGTCTATCATAACTGTCAAGTTATATTTTAAGTGAACTACTTAACTCAAACCCAGCATAACTCTAGCAAGTGAAGATGGCAGCTTCTGAAGATATTCAGTAGTGCATTAGAGGAAAATGGTTTTATTTATAGTATCAACATTTTGACTTTTTATAAATCATTCAGTAAAATCCAGACTTCCTAATAACACTATCCTGTTGAAAGTGAATGGAAGCTTTGCCAATGCAGTGCTTGAGGTCTCCTCCAAGAATCTTATTTATCTGAATAATATGGATATTTCCTTAATGAAAATTGAAACTATCCATTCAAAAGTTACTATTCAATAAAAGGGTATTTTATGTGGAATGAATATTGTGCTTTCTTATTTTTCGCCCAAGCTTTTTAAAGTGAAATCAATTTCTTACCCCAACTTTATTCATCACACAAAAATATATAAATCCTGTCTTTTATGAAGCTGTCGTGGTTTCTGAGAAATATTAGCCCCTAGGGTCCATTTATCTGTTTAATACATTCCTGATGTTCATATCATCTTAAAAAAATTTTTTTTGCTTGTTTGATGATTTTTTATTCCCCTGTTCATTTAATGAAATTCAGTATTATGTCTCTATTCCGTTCCTTTTAAAAAGAACTTAATAGAAGCCACTAAAACACAGAGATTTAGTATTTTTATTTTTAAAGGGAAAATAACCTAATCATGTTGTTTACATTCTTGATTTCCCACTTTTTATGCTTTTTCTTTTCTTACTTCTTCTCTGAAAGATGCAGAATAGCCAGATAAACAGAAAGAACCAAAGTTATGTAAGACATGATTGTCAGCAAATATTTAGCTCCCTAGGGGCACAGATACACATTGGGATTTTAAAAGTGCCTAGAGGACTTTGTTTTTACTTTTTGTGATTTTGTTATTTAATTAGGCTTCACCCAGCAGTCTTCATGTTCTGAAATGTCTGAAGTTATGCTTTTTGGGGTGCTGTTGATTTAATGTTTAACATTTCTCTTCTTTTTCTGTTTAAATCCACCTCTTTTTGTGACTCATTCTCTATGTGTATGCTTGTATCCAGGCTTACCATGACTAGTCTAAGCGCAGTTGTTGCTAACTACACAGGAACAAGTAGGGTAGCAGAGTTGTGTTTTCAAGGGCATACATGGAGAAACAACTTTGTAGGCAAGATGCTCTCAAGAAGCTCTAAATGGATAAACATATTAATTTAGTTCAGAATTTGAGAATCGATCACTCTGGTGATTTAGAGCTTAAAGCTTTTTGCCTTTTTTTTTTTTTTTTTGTGTGTGTGTGTGTGTGTGTGTGTGTGTTTTATTGTACCAAGCTTTTTATTTATTTATTTATTTGTTTGTTTATTTATTTATTTATTTAAGTTGGATGGTTCATACCAACTGAAGGTGGGATTCATATCAGCTAACTCTAGTCATCTTACAGTACCCATTTTCAACTGTCTAGACACTCTCTATTGTCAATGAAGAAACAGAGGCTCTTCAAGAGGGTGATTCATCCCATCCTAAAATAGGTGTCTAAACTGGGATATATTGAAAGTAGCTGTCTTTCTCCACCAAATAGCAGGAGAGCATTGACAAGCGGTTAGACAAAAAGCAGCTAAAGTTAGGTGGTCCTCCTCTGAGCTATTGATACATCTCTTACCCTATCTGTTGCTTCACTGGACTGCAAGATGAGTAACATTTTTTTTTTTAATATTTTGTCAAATGGGGCAAACATGCTAAATAGATGTTAGTAATAAATCTTTCAGCTTTGGAAGAACATAGGGCAGGAAGTAATGTAAACAGTTCCCTTGCAACCGAGCAGAGATAGTCTGTGCTTTGTTTTGTCAGATGGCAGCTTGAAGAGTAGAATTTGATGCATAATGCATTGTACATATTGCAGGATGGGATCAGCCTAGAAATCAGCATCCACCTGCAGTAAAAATTCTTCCTGCTTTCTCCTCTGTACAAACAATGTCACAGTGACAGTTCACAGCTATCCTGTCATTTTCTTGTTTGTTTTCTGAAAAGTAAAAATTCTAGTTGAAAAACAAATTAAACCCACAATGGGTGCATAACATATTTTAAAAACACTAGAATGGAAAGCATTTCAAGGTGGCATATATATGGGATAAGTTTAACACCATCTGAATGGTTTTCTCAAGAACTTTTAGAATAAATATATATTAGAATTTCACTGAACATAGAAACTTTTCTCAACAGAGTAGTCAGTAGCAATTTTAAAGCAGAAAAAAATTGTGCAGTAATTTTTATTTCCATGTATTAACTGTGAAATGAAGGGAATGTACCATTTAACATTGGATTTAACACAGTTTTTTATATTTCAAGGCATTATTTACAACAGAAATAAATCAACCAGTGGCAATTATTAAAGTTTCACTTGCTTCTTCAGCACTAAGATTCTGCTGAATGTTTTCCATAATTGGCCAGTCATGTGTTCCAGATAATTATGAACTCTCCTTGAGAAAACGTTGAACAAAACACCTATTGCTATGATGTCACTTCTGTGAAAGTTCACATACCATTTTAAGGGAACAAATGTTTATTAAGCCTGTGGTGATTCTGGACTGGGGCAGGAGAAAATGACACTGTGAAAACTCCATTAACATCTGCCCATCTCTAAACTAGTTTTCCTGTATGTTCGTTGCAATATAATTGCTACCTGCAAAAAAATGCCTGTTTTGTCAGCAGGCAAATTTACTTTGCATCTATGATAGATTTTGATGCCTGAAACACTGGTTGGTTTTGTCTCTTCCCTTATTACTTAAGTTCAAGGAAAGGAATACACAAAGAAAAATGTTTCTGCCAGCTAGTTAAGTGAATTTCTTTCATTCATATTTAAAATGTGCTTATCACAGAATCACAGAATCACAGAATTTCTAAGTTGGAAGAGACCTCAAGATCATCGAGTCCAACCTCTGACCTAACACTAACAGTCCCCACTAAACCATATCACTAAGCTCTACATCTAAACGTCTTTTAAAGACTTCCAGGAATGGTGACTCCACCACTTCCCTGGGCAGCCTGTTCCAATGTCTAACAACCCTTTCGGTAAAGAAGTTCTTCCTAACATCTAACCTAAAACATCCCTGGCGCAACTTAAGCCCATTCCCCCTTGTTCTGTCACGTGGGAGAACAGGCCAACCCCCACCTTGCTACAGCCTCCTTTGAGGTACCTGTAGAGAGCGATAAGGTGGCCCCTGAGCCTCCTTATGCTCATGATTCTTACATTTTACTGATACTGTCTTAAAGTAAGAATAGTAAACTCTTAAAATCCCATGCTCAGTATGTATAGAAATCTGTGCTGAAAAGCTACGTCTAGTTTTAGGCACATTATGGTGGAAAGAGACCAGTCAGTTAACTGGTCTGATCATACACACAATACAGCCATAGTATCTCATCTAGTTGTTCTTTCAGCTGGGCAAAACAAGGCACTGTAGACATTTCCAAACCAGCAGGTTCTTCTATGTTATTTGGATCTTCTTTCACCATTTGGATTTTTGCTGGTCTTAATTAAGATAGTTGTTTTCCTCTTATCAAACTGTGACTATAAAGACATCCACATCATAGTTATCTTTTTCAGCCTTTTAATAAAAATAATAATAAAAAAAAAACTGTTGCAATTAATTAGTTTTCCATTTATTATTGTGTGTAGTTTTTTTTTTTTTTTTTCCTTTACAAAGAAATTTGACAAGCAGATTTCTGGAATTCTTAATGGAGTTGAAACAATAGCTTGTGTATGATGTACATTCATAGTGAAATGATGAACATAAATTACATATACACACACAAAGAAAACAAGGCACTGTTAAGACTGTACAAGTAATAAATGACAGAAACATTATCAATATGTTAGAAACTGAGCTCTTAATGAAAACTGTATCAGTAGTCATTTTAACACCCTAAAGCTGTGCATTGTTTTGGAGTTCTTTGCTTAAAAGCCCATCTGTGTCCCTCTTTCCATATGTATTGGACCCCACATTCGTAGGTGAATAAATTGCTCCAATGTTGCTGCTGGAACGAACTAAAAAGTCAGCCAAGCGTTGTGTCACACACGTAGCGGTGTTGCATTTCCGTTTCTCCAGATGGTGACTACTAATATAAAAGAAAAAGAGCCAGAATGAAGTCAAATGATGAGCAATCAGGTGTGCCACCTCTAAAAGGCATTTGAGATGTGCTAATGTGGGAGTTCTTTTAATATGTGCACAAATACAGGAACATTACAATCTTCCTACCACCTACTTTGTGCCTGAAAAAAAAATTTTGCACTGTGTGCTATTATCAGTTTTAATGATGGGGTTTATTTAAATGCAAAGACCTTAACAGTCATATGTCACTTTTATTGATATTCAGAAAAGCAGTTTATGACATCTAGAAAACCTGTAATGATAGTATAGTTAAGACAGTAAGTGAAAACAGTGACTAAATGTTTAGCTTTAAGCTGAACTTCTAAGTCTATTTAGAGCTCTTGCTGATATCATGAGGATTACTAACATAATGACAACTACTAACATTTATTTAGTTCTCTTATTCCCACCAAATCATATCCTGCTCTCACTGAACAGTAACCTTCCAGTCCACACTAAATGGTCTGAGCCAAAAGACTCTCCCAACTGTGTCATGATCATGAGAGGTGGCAGGTGTTCCCAACTGCTTCAATACCACTTAAGATTTAGCTCTGTCTAAATAGAGATCTCTTCAGTAATGAATAGGAGCCACATCTTTGTTGGAACACAAGCAGCTTGAATTTGCTGTAGAAGTCTGTAATAGAGTCCATGGATGAGCCTCTATCTAAAAAGAACATTTCATGATCTGAGCCAACAGACCTTTTACAAACTCTCTGCAGGACATAAGCAGCATGAGATTTTTGTTTTAATCACAGTAAAATGTTTCTCTTGAAAGAGATATCAAGATACACAAATGTTTCTCTTTCAAGAGAAACATTTTATTATATATTTTGATATCTTGAAAGTCTTTTAAACTTTTTAATTAGACTACCGTGCTTTTCCTTCAGACAGAAATACTTGATTGTTTTAAACTGAGATTATTGTAGCTGAGATTGTATTATAAACTGAGATTGCTTATAGAATTGTTAATTTTCTTGGGTTTCTTCATGTTGAGGTAGCATGTAGTAGACAACAATTTTCAGTAGTAATTCACTGTCAAGATTTACAATTTCCAATTTCAAACTCAGAGCAATTATTACTATATTTACCTATGGATCGACTAAATCTGTTATCTAAAATTTCATCTAGAATTTTAATGTGTGTACTATACTGGTTCTTGATCAGCAAATAGACAGCAATTTCTAAGCAGTCAATATTTTAAATATGTAACTATATTTAAAGTAAGTGGTTGCATAGGATTTGATATAGATTCCCTTAGATTTTCTTTTTTTTCTGTAGATGTAAAAAGAGTTTAATCAAGCCCTTAATATATGAGGTTCAAACAGCACCTGCTTCTCATAGAAATCCTGAATTGTTTGTGGAGACAGAGTTCTCCTTTTCTTTAATGATACAAAATTATGCACCGACACTCAAGTTTAAAACTCCAGTCCTTGCAGGAAGTTACCACTTTACTAACTGATGTCAAGCCTGACTGAATCCATCATGCCTACCAGCTCTCTGATTTGTAGCCTTTATTTGAATATGTGCTTCAACGAGATAGCGCACCCACTAACAGATTGTAAGCCAAGGCCCTAGAAAAGCAGATAGGGCATACTGCACTCATAAAGGTGAAGCCTGATGTATAATTATTACAATAATTATTTTATTTTTTTAAAACCAAAAGCTGTAAAAAATCAGGGACTTAGTCTCTGTTATTAAATTATTTGGAAGATAACCAAATAGTTATATAATATATATGTATATATTTGAATTCGGTGAGAGTGGAACCAGTAACTAGACAGACACATGTATTTACTGAATCTACCTTTAATAGAACTGTTATTGAATAAAGTCAATCAAAAGACCAAAGAACAGATAGAGTAGTTCAGTGGTATTTATCATTTAGAAGATTTGCAAATACTTTTTGAAATGCTATTGTATTCATCAAAAAGTTACCTGAAATTGGATTTATGGCGCTATGAACATGAATACATGTCAGACTAGTTAAATTATGTCAAAACCAATTTCTTCTTTTCATTCTTCCCATGATTAAATTGATGTTTAACACTAATGAAATATTATTTACTTACAGGAAATAGTTACATTTTAAAAGAATTTTATTCTAGCAGAGAACTAATGTTATTATGCAGGATATATTTCTTCCCCCCCCAGCTCAGGCTTGGAAATATGACATTTAAATAAAAAAGCCCTCTCAAAATAGACCTTATTTCTCAAGGAAACATAGTATTTATAGGCTTTTTTTTTTTCATTCATGAAAAAGTTATAATTTTGAACTGATAAATGATCTGCAAATTTTGTCTCTGGATTTCACTTTCTATCCTTTGGTCTTACAGAATGGCTCTATTTACAAGAAGAAGGTTATTCAAAGCTGCTTGAGAATTGACAACATACAGGAAGTCTCAAGTAACAAAATATCACTGGCTTTAAGTTTACTTCACAATTGAATCCTATGATATGGCAAGAACAAACAAGGGAAATCAATACCTTTTTGTCTTTGCTGCTGGTTGTTCTGGCATTTCCTCGCTAAGTCCTGAGAGTGTATTCTGTGACACGATGGGCAATATCCATCCTTGCCTCTTGGAAGTCCCATCAGATAGATCATCAGCCACAGATAATAATCTTTAAACAATAAAATACACTTGAGGATTTGAAAAGCTCTACTTTTGCTCATGTTATTTGGGACATGAAAGTAAAAGCAATTCATGCAACAATATGAATATTTCCCTTATATAGAAATAAATATGATTATTTGTTACTCACTTCTCAATAGGTGTAGCTTCCAAACAACTCAGTGCGACAGAAAGTACAATGAGGAAAACTGACAGCTTTAGGTTGCACATCTTTGCTTCCAAACTTTCTGAAAAGAATAATGATTCAAAACTGAAAGCAATCCCAAATACTCTTCAGTGTATCCTATTACCGGTGCCCATGCTGTCCTAAACCAACAGCAGCTAGTCTTCTTCACAGGCTAGAGTAAAAAATGATCCCCACAAGTTTAGTGACATGCAGTTTTAGACAGATAGCTCTCACCAGTAAATGTTCATTTTCCATCTAGTACTGTCAATCCTTCAATCCTTTCCCATATCTTTGGTTTGCATTTCCTGACATGTCCTAATCTCAAATTTTGGTCCCAAGTGCAATTTACCTCAAAATCATTTTATCCTTTTCCTGAAAAATGCTGTTGATTAATAACGAGAAACATTGTGCTTTCCTGAAAGCACATCTGTTGCATCACATTTTAAATAAGAAAAAAGACAAATTGTTTACCTTGCAGTGGTCAGGGAGCTAACTGAAGATGCACGCCTGTGTTAGCTGGAAGGGTGCATGCAACAATTCCACGCTTGCATCTAGCTCTGGAGTATCCCTTTTCCCCCTTCCTTGCTGACAAGTAATACGGCTCTTATATACCCTTCACACCTTTCTCAGCTCTGACATCAGGCAGCAGAGAGAGACTGTCATTAATCCCTATACATAGAAGGTGCCCCAGAGAGGAGCAGAGGCAGATCAGTCATTATTCCATTAGCACATCAGTAAATATTAACCTAGCATATGCAGGATGCCCTCATGAAGATACTGTAATAGCATACTGCACATCAGAACTGTAGCCTCAGCTTTACAGTTCTGATAAGATGCTGAGGTAATATTCCCTGTGGGTGTTTTCAAGGGCTAAATAAGGTAACAAAAAGTTATAAAAAAAGCTGGATTAAATGAAACAACAGATCACCAGTAACTGAAACATAAGAAAACAGACATATTAGAAAAGATAGAATAGGTAAAGTTGGAGGGGTTTATTGTAGAAGGATATGATGATCAAAACACGAAAACATTTGAAGGGCTAAAAGCTGTGCAAGCTATAAGAAAAGAGATAAAATGATTTAAATTGGCAGATAGGGTGATCATTCAGGGTAACAATGTAGAAATCAATTAACTTTTCAGTAAAGTAAAAATAAGAATGGAATTCTGTCATTATAATGTAAAATCTTTTGTTTTACTAATACTGGTAGATTCTTTATTTCATACATGCAAATTGTTTCAATTAATATTCTTAAGAAGGTAAAGACTAGTATTAAAAAGCTAGGGAATACTGAAATAAATGCAGCCTGTGCAAATTTATTTATAGTGTGCATAGAATATGGTGCATAGAAAAGATATACAGCTTTTAAGAGACTATTTTTTTAAAACTGTATAACAAAATACATTGCCTGATCGCAGATTGTCAATGATACAGATTGGAACCCTTTCTCCTGATTTCAGTGGGAATTAAGCAAATTGCTTTTTTTTTTTTCTTTTCTTTTCTTTTTTTTTTTTTCCTTTTTTTTTCACAGTAGTTGTCTTTAATTATACCTTCAGGTGCCTAAGTGCCTTTGGGAAACTGGTTTTTCAATTATTTATGGATGTTAAGATGTTGACAAAAGATCACAGACAAAGTTATTTGCGATAAGAATTATGTGATAAGAATCACACAGATCTTTGATATTCCCACAGGACATGAATTCATTTATAACTGCTCCAGTGTCAAAGATGTTGCCTTTACTGGAAGCTTCCTTCATTGTCCATTTAGTCTATAAAACCTTATTTTGTACTGAAATAGCAAAAGATCCAGTGTTGAACCTCTTCAGGCATCTGTGCTATTAGATTGAATGTAGAAGGGATATTTAGCTGGGATAGTATCCTCTTAAACTGATACAACACCTAGTCTTTCAATAGGACTTTTGCGAGTGATAAAATGTTTTTATTAAAAATAAAAAAAAAAAAGGATGCCGCTCCTGAATAGTTTGCTGTCTGTTTTTAATGATGCAATCATGTACTTTTTTTTTTTTTTTTCTTTTTTTCTTTTTCCTAGGTTTCTTTTATCTTGTTCTGGACAGACAGTTCCTGTGTGCAAGAAATAAGAATAGTTTTGATATGTCTTCACCATGGCAATATGTTCTGTGCAACATCTGAAACAGATTTATCTCTCCATAAAGTTTCCTATTGATGTTTTCACTATAGCATTTGACTGGAATGAAATAACATTCTAGTGTCATTTTCACTGTAGCATTTTGAAACACTACAACAATTTCACTCCCTGGAAATGAAGGCATGATTAGACCCATTTTACAGAGATAGAATTGTGCCAAAATAATTATGCTAATAATCTGTCTGGTTATCGACACCAGCCAATATTCACAGTTTGAATATTGAACTTGAGTACCTTGGTGCACTTCTTCCAGAGTGGGAAGAAATCTGGGTTCCACTGGCTCTCAGCAGTGTCAGGCATGCTCAGCTTCTGCAAAAAGGCAGCCTCAGGTCATTTCAACTCCTTAAAAGCAGTAGATAGATTAGATGCAGTTTGGCTGAGCTGTTGAAAGATTAGACTGAATATTCAGAATCAGTTATCAGCATCTAAGTGATGTATCAAGCTTGAATCAAGCTATAGGTTGACATAAGAGAAGTGAAACGAGCTTTTTAAATAAATATTGGTCCCAGATCCCAATTCCAGCTGTCCTGCAAGGTGTCTTGGGAAACCCTTAATGCTTTAAAGGACATAGAAATTCTTGAGTGTATTCTAGGAATGAAACTAGGCTCATGCTATCCCAGGAGCATTACATTCTCTTCTGGACCACATAGAATCTTGGCAGAATCAGCAAGAAGTCTATCCAGCTATTGTTCAGATATGTTAATAAAATGAAGAATTACTGCTTCTGTTACAGATTCTCTTATGCAGAAGTAGTGTATTTTTTTTTTCCCACACAAACAAGAATGGAATATGAAATCGTGGAATCTCTGTGACAGCAGACCTGAAATTTCAAGAACCTGGCACTAAGTACTGACTGTGTAGTTAGTACCAATCAGTGAAGGGGTTAGTACTATTTTTATCACTGATAAAGTTCTTTAACCTTGATCTCAAAAACACCCTTAATTACTCAGCATGAAAAATGTTATCATGTTAAAGGTGAAAACAACTATTCTCAGTAAAGAAACACAGGAAAAACTCTGTCCTTGGTAGTTACATGATAACTGTACATATTTATACTGTCATTTAAGTCCATATAAAAAGAATTATATAACATGTTATGCCTGTATGGGGGTAAGGTGACACCAGAGATGAGGTTTACAAAGAAAGCAGAGGATATGGAATGCCAATGCCTCGGTCCCTTCTGGAACTGCCTACGTAAACATGCAAGAGGATGAACTTTGCAGTGTAACATACTGACAGAAGAGGAACAGGGAGTCAGTATTCTCTGAAGTGTCTGCTGTTCTTACTGGGGAGTTGAATTTATCTAACTGTGAGATGTATAGAGAGAGCATTCTAGTGTATGTTCCTAATGTAGGAGACTAGAATAGCTCAAATGATTTGTGCCTGTTTCTCCTTGTTGGCTATAAAAACAGCCTTGAGTGACTGGCTCCATTACAGTTGTTTACACTACAGATGTCTGTGAAACGAATTCCATCATGGTTGCTTTAATTTCTCCTTTGTTCTCAGTTTCCTGACATTCAAGGTTGTCTCCCTCTCTTTGTCATACATGTATTTACATTTTTTCTTAGGCTATTCTTGATACCTCCTGGTTGGCTGCTGCTCCCTTTTAATGGCTGATTTTAATTTCTTAATTTCATATTTGCTTACTAACATTAACGACACACATACTGACTTTTGGTAATGGATGTTTCTTTTCCACTTGTGAAAGTCACAAAAAGCCATATTACTTGTTGCATGTACTTTACCAGATAATGTTTTGCTGTGTAAGGTAGCTGTCTCCAGTAAATTACACTGTTGCTCAGTTACCAGGAACTAGAAGTGTGTGAATAACTCATGGTTTAGTTTGCCCGTTGTATTAAAACAGAAAAGAAAAAACTTTAAGCATTAATCTGAAATGGGCATATTTCAATTTTTAGAATAAACCAGAAATCACAATAGTAACTGCATTAATATGCGTCAGCATAAATACTACCAGAAATGAAACAGAATGGTGCAAGTGTTACTGCTCGTAGTTTTCTGAGTTGAGCAAAATATTTCATATAATCTGACTTTTTTTTTTTTTAATTTTTATAACATATTTAGCCTTTTATTTCTTATAAATAAGTTTGAACTGAGCATCAAAACATAAGTAAACTATAAAAAGTGTTTCATCAATAATGTCAGCACATTTGAAAAAGTTTAAGTGCCTTGTGTTCAAGTGGCCAATCCTAAAATTTAGAGATATAAGTCAGGTGTCTAGACAGAGTTGCTTGTTGTTATTTCATATCCCCTAGGACATCCAGTATTATCATGCATGAACCTGGCTAGCTGGGCACTGTTTTAGCAACTGCTGACTAGGTAGAATATCAGAGGGTGTCTAAAATTGCACTAGACACCCATGATTAGGAACCTGGATAGTTCCCTGATTTTTTTTGCATTTGAATGCCGAAGCCTGAAAATTTTGGCTATAATATTGTCTTCCCAGTATTTCTTGCTTGTTACTGTATTGATGAATACTAGACAGTCTGTATTTTCCAGTGAGTTGAGTTGTAATTTGCTACTGTTAGCACTTAAGATATGTACATTTGCTTTCTTTAAATATTGTTTTATCAAACTTGCTTTTACTAGCATGTTAGCATGCCTTCCTTTGTTACTCCTACTTGGCATGGGCTATTTCAGCACTGATAGAAACTGTCAGCTCTTTTTGTTGATCCCCAAACTTATGTTAACTCTGTTGAAAAAAACGTGGAAGCAGCAGCAGAAGAGTTAATGGAGACAAAGGTAACAATTTATCCCACTGTGGAAAAAAACAGGTGATTCAGAAATGAAGGGTGGTCATCCATGGAACTGACTAGTAAATGGAATTAAGTAATTTGGATAATTAACAGAATCTTAAAGCCATCCTTTACGATTTATCATGCTACTCAGCTCACATCATTGACCAGAACAATGATGTATCCTCAAAAGGCTATTGCTAATGATTGATCTGAGAATGGGCTCAGGAGAGTTTGTGCTGAGTCAGTTCCTGTGGCTGGGAATCTCCCATGCAAGGGAAATAAAAACCATGTTTGCATCAGAAAAGTCAGAAATGACAGCACAGTCATTTCTGTGATCGATACGTTTTATTTCCTAATGCCATTCCTACTTAGAGTTTATAGAATTTTAATTTCATGACTTGCTCCTACTGGCTTGCATCCAACAATTCACCTTTTCATACAACAAATGCTTTAAATTCTTGATATTTTTAATCCGTCCTGAAATAAGTTTCCAGAAATATAAGCAAAAGCAGAACTCTCCTTTGGTTATCAATGTCACTTACAAGGGCTCTAGATGCTGCTTATGTTAACTCAGTAATGTGAAATATTACTGCTCTTCTTCCATCCCGGTAACCTGAGGCATCCATTGCTTTCTGCTATGATAATTATCCAAAGTAGCAGTCTATGAGGAGTCATCTACAGAAAGGTATTCAGCTTTCATATATATTGCTGTAATGTCATATATACACTAGCACAATAGTATATATAGTCCTATTAATAGGTGGACTCAAACGAGTACTTCAAAACAGAACAAATTATTTTGCTAAAAGGAAGGCTGTGACACTTACTTGGAATATCTCCCTGCAGAGTCACTACACTGTAAATTCACATATTGGCTCACTGCTTAGGTCTCCTTACAGACAAGTTCAGAGTGACTACAGAGCTACTTGATGTACAGAATGAAGACTCCTTGCATGCTACTCTAAGGGAAAAAAAAAAAAAGATTAAGGAATTAGGTCTGTGTAGAAATGCTGTTTCTGATATACTAAATGTTATTGTGAGAACTCTTAACACCTCTTCCATGCCCCAACATATTTTAAAGAACACAGACATCTGTTTGTGGAAGATACAGTGAGACCAGGAACCACCCTCCATGCTCCCTGTAGTTATTTGAGAACAGGTGAATAGCTAAAATGTAGAGAGCAAATGGAGCCATTTAAAAGAAACTGCTAGTTTTCAAAATAAATCTACACAGAATCACATCAGCCCTCCTTACCTGATCCAATGCATAAGTTTAAACTAAGTTTTCTTTTAAACTATCTGACTTTCAACAATAAGACTTTTTTTCTTTCTTTTTTTTTTTTTTTTTTTTTTTTCCCTCTCTCTGCAAGATGCAGCAAGAGAATGACAATCTGGCTTTGTCTTGAAACACTCTGAGTCTTTCAGATGATGCTGTCTTGACAGCTCTGCTATTAATAGTGGCATTTTCTCTCCTGTTTAAAAAGGAGAATTGTGCTGAACTGGGAATCAGTCATGTTAGTAATAATTTTTCACCAGGGGCAAATGCAGCGTACTAGCATGTGTAGGAGAATTTACATTGACAATACCATGAAAGATAAATTAACTTTTTTATTTTATGTCAGCACTCTGAGGTGCAAAACAAGGTAGCCCTCCTTCAAAGAGAAGTGCAGTGGGGCTGTGTTTGATGTATGCTTGCATTATTGTATGTGTGAGCAGAAGACCTGACCTTTTCATTCTACTTGGAGATGAGAAAAGATTTTGATATGCACAAGGAACATGAATCAGTACATGAAGTTGTCTCTCTGCTGAAAGAAGTCATTACAAATTCATTAGAAAATCAGTATATATACCTGGAAAAATGTACTGCACTTTTGCTCTGTTATGGTCATTTTACATGTTTTTTTTTATACCAAATATTGCTGTTTCCATCTGATTAGCCACTACTCCACTTTTGACTGAGATCTTCCCTGACAGCAGAAGACATGAATGGTATGGAAAAGACAATATTTAAATGTAAAATCTCACAAATACTTTAGGTATGTGGCATGGCTAATTCTAAAGGTGATGTTTTCTGCAATAAACTGTTGTTGAACCAAATGCCCAGTGCAGAATTGAAGGTACTGCACTATTGCAACACAAAAAAATTGAAGTTCTGGAGTTTTTATGTCATTAACATATTAAAATAATTTCATTTTAACACATATTTTGCCAATGAATGCTGCAGTTTTAACGGGACAAAACTAAGAATTCATCTTATCACAGCATTTGATTCAGAACCCTGTGCAGAGCAGCAAAGCAGATATTTCAGGACAATCATCTTAAAGTCCACGCATGTTGGACTTACTAAGTGTTTATTTAGAAGGGTGGCATAAGCTCTGTTTTTGGGTTCAGAGCCTTTTTGATTGTGTAAACTATTGTCTAGTTTGGTGGACTTCATTTTTTTCCCCCTTGATTTATGCATTTCCAGATGGTGGGTAGACCTCTGGCTGTGACTATGATTCTAGTGACCGTGGACCTGCTTCAGTTACTCTTTAGAGAATCCCTATCCTACTTCCTGATGCAGTACCCCAGGTTGAAAATGACTAGTTTTATTTTTCAAAAAATATTGCGTTGCCACATTGTTCATGCTTATTGGTGTTGTGTGAAAAAAATTAAGAACTTTGGCAGTGTTATATACATGTATAATTTTATATCAGTATAACATAACAGTTCATATAATTTCATGTCAATGAAGGGTTAACACATTCCTAAAATATTTTATAAGCAGTTGTCATAACTGTCACTATCTTCTCCATGGTGTTATGGGTCATTACAGCCCCCTGCTCCAGGTCATATATTGTCCTGCTGGCTTACATAACACTCATAACAGTCTGCAGCAGTTGATTAAACATCTTTTGAAAGAGTCATAAAAATTATCACCATAGAGGTATTTTTTATGATAGAGTCTTAAGTGTATACTGTTATCTGAAGTCATTTATTTAATTTCCCTTGTCAAAAGAGGATGTATATTTCATGCAACTTCTTTCTGAGCAAGAAAGGGAGATCCTATAAAAATTGCCCATGTTTTAAAAAAAAGATATATTTGTAGCTAGAAAGCCGTGCTCACAGGTAGATGCATAGCTATGTGCCCAGTTCCCAAAAGTTCACCCAGGTTCCCAGAGCTTCTCTTCTTATATGAGGATGCTTCTCACCTTTTAGGACTGAGCTGTCTTAGAAGAGGTCCCTATTCAAAGAGCACTTTGAAAGGTTAGGCATATCACCTTTAAACATTTTCTAGTAACTTGTATCTAACCAGCTGTGTGACGCTATCTCACAAAGCATATTATCACACACCAAGAAACTTGGGGACTTGATGGATAGCAAAAGTGAAATGCTATCAGATTACATAAACCACTGATTGATGAATCACAGTTAATGTCATTTTTTTTTTTAGAGGAAAAGACTCCAGAGAGTCTTTGAAGCCTTTGAACTGCCAGTCAACCTACAGTACATTTGTTCCTTTAACTTCTCTTAAAAGTGTGTTCATGAGACAATATGCCTCGTTAGTGGAAAGCTGACGACCTGAACACACAACAAATTCCTTTGTATTATAAAAAGGAGGTACTGCCCAAAAGTATATCATTAGGTATTCAACTTTTTTTCCACAGGTAATTGATTCTGAAAAGCTGTTTTGACAATCAGAACATTTGTATTTTCTATCGTTTAAAAATAGAAGTTTGTGTAACAGAATGTCTTCTAGCCTTGTGGCAAATTTTGTGGAGTATGAAGAATTGTATGTCTTTATAGAGTTTGACACAAAGCAGAAAGACATGAACCTGTTTTGCTAAAACAAAACCAAAAAACATTCAAACACATGGAAGTCAATATATTGATCCTTTCTATTGAAAGAAACAGTGTTATGACAATCTTACTAGTTTAAATATAGTTAGTTATGAAAATAAACAATCTTTTATGTTTTGCATATAGATAATATTATATCCACATACCTTAATATTATCTCCACATATCTATCAATGCATGCTATAAATGACAATTTATTGTTTTACAGGGGAAAACCTGAAATAATTAGTTTAACTGTGATGCACAGAGTCAATGGCAGAGTCAAGGGTGGAAGACACATCTGAATCTTCATTTAGTTTGTAGCTGACAACTGCATTCTGATGAGGTGAGAGGAAAGAAACGGGTATTGCATGTTCAAATTACATCTGAATTCAGGGTCAAAATGGGCAGAAGGTCTTGTGCCTCTCTGTGCTTCTGCATATACAGGGATAAACAACACCCCACTTTCTTTATTAAATGGAGATGGGTGCTTTCCTAGCTTGAGTAAATCAAGCTCTCTTTCTCTCTCTTGATTTACTCCCTTTCTAGATTAAGCTCTCTGTAAATCAAGAGATTTACAGGTGCCAGTCCAATGAGACCTTGTGGCTATCCAAAACATACCTTAGGCTAGTATAACAACTACCAGAATAAATACATTGTTGAATAAAGAAGGCTCAGTTAAATTATTATAGCTTTCTTTATTTTGTATCCTTCCTCTCTGTCTTCTGAGAGGGTAAATTCCCAAATTACCTTGAGAAGGTTTTTTGTTTGTTTGTTTGGTTTGGTTTGTTTTGTTTTCCCTGTGCAGATATTGTGAGCTGTATGAACAGCTGAAAGTAAAAAGCAAATACAGTGCGGTGTAAGAGCCTATTTTGTGAGGTTTCCAGACTCAGCTTTGCTGGCCTGTTCAAAGGCTTAACTTGGCAGTGTGCACTCAGACCCTCAGAAAAAAGTTCTGTGTTGTTCTTGTTAGAAGTTGTCTCTGTTAGCCTTCATTTGACTGGGAAAAGCATGGCTATGCAGCTACAAGAGTGATGAATGTCCACTGTCCTCATCAGTATGAGTGAGGACTAACATTTTAAGCTCCCTTATGTCTACTGATGAGCCTGTAGTAGGGAAGCAGATCTCAGGAGATATCACTGATAAAAACATTGCTTGGACTGTGGTCCAGCTTTGAGGGAATCTAATCTGTAGGGCAGGGAATCTAATCTGTATCACAACATCCTTTTCTGTTTTACCATGCTATGTCCTACAGGATGTGCAACCCAGAATTGCTATAGTGCTAAACTCTATGGAGACATAGCTCATGTTTCTATCTTTTCCCAATTTAACTTCCATTTGTGGTTGGATACTACTGCACTGCTGGAAAAGAGCTATTTAGTTTTCAGTGTTTCCAAAATGATCTGCCATATTTAGAGTGAGGCCAAAAATCACACCTGTATCTTGGGTAGATAATTCATCATTATTTGTAATATTTAGGCACAAGACAAGTAGTTGTTGTTGCTTTTTAATTGAAAATTTACATCGGCTCTACATTTTGAATTTCCTGTGAGGTTGCACAAGCAATTGTAAGGAGGTCCTGACCTTAGTCTGAGAGCCACTGGATGACAGCCTTTTTTGTTTCTTGGCCAAGATGAGTAGATCTAGAATGACATAAGAAGCAGAAAAATACAGGATAGGTGTCATCTGACCTGATTTTCTTCTGTCTAAAAGTTAGTTATCTAGACTAAGCTAGCTCTTCAGACTTTCAAGTCAAAAGGAAAGAAGAAGTACCTCCAGAGACCATTTCCTCCCACTTATTTTAGACAGCTGTCTTAAGGTGGGATAAATTGCTCTCTGGAAATATCTGTCTCTGTCTAATACCTATTTAGAGAGTCTATATGAGGATCTTCAACAAAGCTACTTGCTAAGAATAGAGTATAGCTGATTCTGATTCTATACAAATACTTTACTCTCTCAAGGTATTTTCCTTTTATTGGAACACTGGAATGATAAGGGTGCCCCTCAAACAAGATCTTTCCATATTGAAGAAAATACGTATATTCTCAGTTTCTGAAGTGGTGGTCTAATAATGTAGGAAACAGTGAACTTGGTACAAATGAGGGTTTTTAGGAGGAATCCCATCAAGAAAGTGGGGATTCAATATTCCAAAACATCAGAGATGCTCTATAATGCTTCAGTTAGTCACAATAGAGAAAAACACTGAATTCCACACTTCATGAATTTTACATTAATTTACTGAATATTTAAAGACTGTGCATTTTTGAATTTATGTAAATTTCATATCTCTATTCCAACTTATTTTGGAGATTTATTTAATTTACGCATGTTACTGATGCCTTGCAAAGATCTGGCAGTGACTTCTCACCTTCATTCAGTATCTCAGTCCCACTGCTGAAGCCTGTGTGCTGAAACAAAAGCAGGTTATAAAGGTCAAGGCATGTACAGTAAGTGCCTCCCAGTGGCACCTAAGCACATCCAAACACTGAAAATTCACAGCAGCTGACGGAGGCCATTCACCAAGTGCTCAGGCATGGCCCCTGTGGATGTATCCCTTCAGGCACCTTTTTTATACACACAGATCACACAAGTAGGTGTCAATTATCTGCTTTAAAATTGAGAGTGTGAACTTACCACAAAAGTGTTCCCTCAACATCCTTCAGCTCCCCAAATGTCCAAGAAAATATAAAAGCTCTGTAGAATTCTAAAGCTAAATTCAAATAAATTGAATTTATTCAAAACATCAAATAAATGTATTTTTGATCTATTATATATATATATATATATTTATTTTTTTTTTTTCTAGGAAAACACTATTTTCAATGGAATATTTTCTTTGTTTTTTCCTGTATAAGGCTTTTCCTTCTTCTAGGGCTATAGAGCCGAATATATGGATACTACTAGCCTTTGTTCATTTGTAAGAAAAAAATCCTTTCTCCATTAAACCATTATTTATATAATTCAAATAGCACTTCCTTTCTCATAGTGGCATGGGAAAAAAACACCACCAGAAAGAAAGTTGGTATTACTGTTGGTATTACTGTTTCATGAACACGAACTCTCCTTAGTATAACTCTTGTTAGTATGTATGCATGCACACGTGTGTGTCCCAAGGAATATGCCCTAGAAGCATCTATTTCTTCTTTTTTCTTTTAAATATAAGCTAAGTTCACATCTAAGTACATCAGTAAGAGAAAGTTCTTTAACTTCTTAGAATGTTCATCACATAGGTCCCTATTTTCAGACTTTTTGTAAATATGCTGATGTGAATGGATCAAAACTGAGTGGCACATACAAGAATAAACCTTTTATAATGGTCAGTGTGGATCTCTGGAAACAGGCATTTAAACCTGAAAAGTGAGTTGACATAAGCAGATGTGTGCAGTAATTAAAGCCATCATAGTAAAGAGATGCTTCAGCTTTTAAAAAGATAGAATGTTTTTTTCTTCTTCCCCTTATTATTTATTTATTTATTTATTTATTTATTTATTTATTTATTTATTTATTTATTTTATTTTGCATTTCAAAAGGAAAGGGAGCACCTATTTGTCTTAAGGTGGCACTTAAACTGCCATCTGATTTGTTTTTCTCTGAAACAGAAAGAATTATTTAAAACAAAATTTTACGTGCCTACTATCAGGAGGTATTTCTTTGACTGGAATTTTTGCTTTCCGTTTATTGTAATTCCTTCTGGGTCTGAATCTTCAACTTCATTCACCCTGATCAGAAATTATTATTCAACAAAATAATATCCTGTATGTGGTGTTTCTATGATTTTCTACCTCCTCAAAGTTTACTTAGCAGTTATTTATTTAAATATTAAATAAATAAAAACCCAAACAATGTTTTTTTAATTATTATTATTGTTATTATTTCAGTGGTTTGCTTATTTTCTATAGATAATGGGAATACCTATACACATATCTCAGAAGCTCACGTAAATATTTTTAAATAAGTATGATCATGTCTGTAGTCAAAATCATGACCCTTGTAAAAAATATCATTTTAAATATAAAGCATATTTATAATATATTCTACAAATAGTTATGACATGAAATATAAAAAAATGGATGGTGTGAGAAAGAAGACAGGCATACTAAACTCTTGTAATACCTAAGCAAGGGTTAAAAAAAACAATTAAACTGAGATCTACAGTTCTGGTTTCTAATCGGTTAAGATAAATATCATATATCAAATTCCATGTGCACTCTCCTAATGAAGTCTTTTGATTGCTTGCAGACAGATTTTCATAGCTGATTATTACAATGGGACTACTGAAAATAAGATATTATTAATGCGAAAGCAAGGGTAATACTCTAATGACACTGAGACTTCTGTCCTACAAAAACCAAGGCATAGCCATGGAAGGCTGTTGCACCTCATATGGGAGAAGTTACTTTACAGCTGAATAAATATTATGATGCTGTTGACAAACACTGTTCATAAATGGTCATAAACTGCCATTTGTGTGGGCAGTGTCTTCTCTCATCACCTTTAGCTGTTTTATTAAGAGAAGTAAGGATGATCACATGGAGTTAAGGCAGCTTTATACTCAGCCATCTTCTAACTCTGTTCAGTATTACCTTTTCATAGTACTGTCTTCTGTGAACACAAAACAGTATTGGACAGAACCGGGACCACTGCCTTTGTATTTTCTTCTTCTTTTGTCACATTTTTTTTTTTTTATTATTATTTTTTAATTTTCCAGTTTTCCCAAAGCAGCAATATAAAAATGGGGAAAATATAAAATGCAAGAAAAACCTCAAAATATCTTATTGGGAAATAATACTTTACCTCAGATTTTAGTTTTAGGAAATCAAAGCTGGAAGCAGAATTTCTAATTTTATTTAAATTGTATAAGCAAAATCTCAGTACAGCCATCATGTGTGATTTTTTGGAGATCATCATGAAGAAAGGACAGAAAGCAGGGCTATAGTTCTTGTGAAATATATGTTTTCTGAGGGATTATGAGAATTTTCTCATACTAGAAACACATGCTAACAGATTTTTACTTGAGAAATTTTCTAGTGTGTGAGAACTGAGAAGACATGCTCTCAATAATTTACTATTGTGTATTTTTGTTCTAAGAAAAACAAAAACAAACAACCACCACCACCACCACCAACAACAACAACAAAAAACAGGGAAAAATGCCTCATCTCATGCTCTGGTGCAGCACTGAGCAGGGTGGGGTTCTCAGCCACCAGTGGTCTGTAAGCCATCAACAGGTGGTCTGCAGAATGACCATAAAAATTAACTGTTTAAGGTCTAGATAGCCTCAAAGCTAGTTATATTAGTGATATTTCAAATTAAAATGTTTTTCAGTACAGTATTGTACTTCTAAGTATGTGAGACCTTGCTGGTCTGCTAATTCTCCACTTACAGCTGCCTAACCTTGAAAGGTGTATGTTAATTTGGAAGGATTTTTCAGGAAAGCTTTGTGCTCCTCCAGCTAGAAGAAAGCATAGAAACACTGTCCTAGGAGGTTGTGCTCAAAGCCAGGAGTTCAATAATACCAATCCCACACTCACCACATTTTGTAGACTTTGCATGTGGGGTTTTCATGTGCATATGTAGTTACTCTTGTGAGGGAGGCAAACATAAATGTCCTCAAAAGGCTTAAGGTCACAGATGAAACCTGCTTCAGCACCAATAGTCAAATAACTCAAATGTCTCTCTGATGGTTCCCACATCTGGTGTCTACCTGGTTTGATTGCAGTCACTTGACCTGTTTTTCACAATAGCATTTCACTTGGTCAAACTACTCTTTGGTTTTGTAACATCCAGTAATCAGTAACTACCAGCACTCAGCCTGCAGTACAGCCACAATGTGACCATGGGCCGTGTGACCATGGGCAGTTTTCCAATCTTTCTCTTCTTCATGGTGAACCATCATGACTCAACAACAGTCCCAAAAGATAGGATGCCCATAGTAAATATAGAAGTACCTAATTATCAGGATTTTTGCCTTGTTCTAGAATTAACAACATGCAAGTTATTCAGCATATATTTAAACTTACATAGAAAAAAAGATTCAGAAAGGCTGTTATACTACAAAAAACACTGAAGACCTGCAGATGGAGATGTCGGAAAGAGTGAGGTTATGTCACTGTGCTTCAGAGGCAAGTACTTTATAAAGACTGGAAAGGGCTATACTTTCTTCCAAATAGTTCCAAGACAGCCAAAAGAAGCCAATGATTATGCTTGTGCTGCATTCCATCTAGCAACTCAGGGCTTAAACATCCTCTCAAAATGTGAGAAACACAGACTTGTTCCTGTTTTTCAGTCTGACTTCGTGTCACCCTTTGCTTGAACACTGCCTAAACCTGTAAATATACACAATTCTGTACACTTTTTAAGCCTGTTTTTCATATCTGAATGAGTTCACTAACATGTGCATCTGGAACTGGCAAAAGCAAAAAATCTGCAATTAAGTATACTTGGGTTAATTTTTAACAATTTAGAATAAAGGTCAAAGTTTAAGTGTATGATATCAGTCATTTCTTCTGAAAACCTTTTCAAAACTGTAAGTATATAATTGTTTTACCCTGAGAATCTTTTCCTTTGTTGCAATCCAACATTAGTATATTTGCATTTGAGTAACAGTTTGAACTGTGTTTAGTAAAACATGATTTTAAAGTACTTTTTGCAACTAGAAAGATAAGTTAGTTAAAAGTTCTGACAGACACTATATTTGCTAATAATTAGTTACCTTGTGACTTTTAATCCTTTTTGTAAACAAAACATGGACTTAGCAGTTTACTCATATGTAAACTGAGCCAAATGGAAGATGCATTTTAAACTGGAAATAAGATGTTCCCTTGGGACTTAGGGAAGGCAATTTGCAGAATATTGCTTCCTAGAATTTTAAATCCAGATATTTGTATATCTTTTGTTCTACTTTTTGTTTATTAATTGTTAATTAATGTGATATTTATTAATTAATATTAATAAGTGGTTTAAACCTTTAATTTATTTATAGATATGTGTAGGACAAAGACGTCCAAACACCCATCTCTCAGGTGTAGCCTGTTTGCTGTTACCAGCCACACAGAATATGTCTGCTCTGATCCATACAGGATATATGTGTTCTTTACCCTCCCCCCCTCCTTTTTTTTTTTTTTTTTTTTTTTTTAGCCTAAATTGCGAGTCCTTTATGCATCTAGTTCATAACTGTAGCTTGTACCTAAACTGTCCACATGATGCTCTTTCACTCTTTATGCACTTTTAAATTGTGGTGTTTCTGTGAACTAACTCTTTTGCCTGCCATAAATGCATTCCAAACTCAGAGCAGAAGTGGAAAGAGTAAGATCTTGTAAAGAGGGATTGTAGGAGGGATTTTATTAACCTCTTCCTTGAAATTTCAGTGGATATTGCAGGTTTATAAGTAGTATTCAAGCGTAGGTGTTTACATTATAGCTGGCAGGTGAATCAGAACCCAAGAGCAAATGTTGGGATAAATACAATCTCACCTGGCCTGCACAAATTTCCCAAGTGGTTTGTTACAAAGCTTAGTCACATTGTGAATATCCTTGTCGCATAAACTGCATCTCGTCTTGCTGTTGGCTAAAGAGGGATGTTCAACAAAGGACATAATTTCCTTACAACTGTGCTGATTCTGGGAGGCAAGATTCTGTGTTCAGGGCTGGCCTGAGTATCTTAGGTTAGGGCTTGAGACCATTGCCCCAGAAATATTTGAGGTGACATATCACCCAAGGTGACATAACATAGCACCTGATGAGGCCCTGAGCAACCTGATCTAGTGGGATATGTCCCTGCCTGTGGCAGGTGGTTTGGAACTGAGTGATCTTTGAGGTCCCTTCCAACTCAAGCCATTCTATGATTCTATGATTCTATATCACTGGTGTTCAAATGGGCACTCTTCATCCTTTCCTACTCTGCTTTCATCTCCACTTTTTCCTCTCTTCTCATGTTCTTGGTTCCACTTTCTTCCTCCTCTTTTCCTTATGTAGGTCTGACACATGTTTAGCTGCTTAGTGAGACAAATACGTTCACTATACGGAAAGCATTTTTTTGCTGTGTTAAATTTTTGTCTATTCAATGAGTTAGAGGTTTACAGAAGAGTCCAGAAGAAAAATGAGCATCAGGAATGCACAGAAGAGAACAGGTAGATGGGAGAAGGGAGGGAGAACACTATTAGTTCATCTTTAGTGACAGAAATGGTAGTCTGAGCTTTAAAATGGTTTCAAAGTATGGTGTAAACACACTTGAACTGGATGATTTACACACCTACATCTCTTTTATAATCTAGGCTATAAGTCTGTGTTTCCTTATTGCTCTCTACAACTGCCTGAAAGGAAGTTGTGGGGAGCCAGGGGTCTGCCTCTTCTCGCAGATAACTAGTGATAGGACTAGAGGGAGTGACCTCAAGTTGTGACCAGGGGAGGTTCAAGTTGGAAATCAGAAGACATTTCTTCTCAGAAAGAGCAGTCAGGCATGGGAACAGGTTGCCCAGGGAGGTGGTGGAGTCTCTGTCCCTGGGGGTGTTCAAGGAAAGGTTGGACCTGGTGCTTTGGGACATGTGACATTGGTAGTAAGTGACATTGAAGAGTGGGTGACATTGGTAGTAAGGTGATGGTTGGAGCAGATGATCTTGAAGACCCTAATGATTCTATGATTCATCAGTTCTGTTTGACCAAGTGTTACCACAAAAATATTTTGAGGCTGGGGAAAGCAACCTCAGGAACATAGCTGGAATTCGTCATTCTGTTTGTTTTGCTGTTCAATTCACAGTCTTAATCATATTCTCAGTCAAAAATGGATTGAAATATATATATATATATATATATACTGCTATAATTTATGCTTTGAAGGGAGATAATAGTAAAAGCAAATTTTTCCATTCTGTAAATCATATATCATAAATCATGATCATAATAGATCATAAAGCATAAATCGATCATATCAATCATATATAATAAATCATATCATATCAATCATATATCATAAATCATATATCATGATCTGTAATCATATGAGGAGTAGTGTGAGGTTTCTGATGCCCAAGGAAAGGGAGTAACTCAGAAGAAGTAACTTTAGCACCAGAATCAAAGCCTGTGTAGCCAGATGATGTTCCTTGTATGAATTAGAGAAATGCAGGTTCTCGTACAGTAAGGGACAGAACTGTATTGCTAACTCCAAGAAGCAGAAGAAGACAAATATAGGGGATTGCATTCTTTGTTCTGTTACTCACCTTTTGGCCTTTTGGCATGCCAGATGGACTACAATCTTTATAATGCATATTAGTATTAATCTAAGGTATAAAATACTCCTTGGGATATAAACTCTTATGCCAAATTGCAGAGAAAATGCAAAATCATGTATGTGCATTTTAATACTGATGGTTGAACACAACATGACTACACATCCTTAAACAAAGCAGAAATGCAATCTATTTATAGATCAGAGACATTTGTCCAAGCTGCTGACCAACTAATTTTAAATTTAATTTTAAATTTAGTATTTTCAGGAATGTTATGATAACGCATTCCTCTTTTAGAGGCTGAAAATGTGGGGGTGGCTAAAGAAAGAGTTAATGCCCATGATTTTGCCAGGAATCAAGTTAATGAAGAAATGCATTTGAGAGGATTAACATTGTTGTAGAAATCAGTGTGTGAAGAGACTGACTGTGAGGGTGTTGGGCTGAAGAATGTGAAAGGGCAATTCAGTCTTTTTGGCAGACTTGTCAAGGATAGTTTGCTTCTCGGCCATGGCTCCATGAGGTGGAAAACACTGAGAAGAGCAAGTGCCACAAGATGGCACTTTGAAAAGAGTGATGAAAGGGGGAAATGTACCTGTATCCATCCTGGCTGTAAGGTAGGGCTCTGAATTGCCCTGGTTTTCTTAGGCTTACTGCATCAGGCAGCAGGGAACTGTGTTGAATAACTGGATTTAATGAAGCCTTTATGGTAGTTCTTAGAGTTCTTAAACTGATGTTCTTTTTCTCTGTTTAACTCTTCTGCATGGTAAGCCACAGATGCGTAGGGGCTTTTACAGGTCAGTGTATTCTAAATCCCTAGAATATGTGTCTTCTTCTTTAAATATTTTTTGGGGAAATATATAAAATATGTGAGAAAGCAAGTGGCTTAGCAGTACCAGAATCTCTAACCACCCAGCTGAGATGGAGACAACTAGAAGTATTCAGACAAAGAAGGATTTTTTTTTGCATATGTTGGGAGGGAAAGCTGAATGGAGTCTGGTTTGTTTTGTTCAGAACGTAAACTGGTCTGGTGGTTTTGATTTTATTTTTTTCTACTTCTAATTTTAATGCCAAGAAACTAGGCTTCAAAGTGATTTCTATTAAAATTTATGGTTACATTGATGCCAGTGGAAGAAGGGGTGGCTCAACAGATGAGAAAAAACTAGCTGTTACATTCTTTACATTTTTATGTCAAATTTTCTCAAAATGTAAAGAAAAAAAATGTACATGGGCTTGTAGGTTTTGCTGGAATCCAGTTTTGTTAGAGTCCATTTTGTAATTATTTAAGGAAGATGCTCAAATATCAAGTATCTTCGAAGGATTTGGATTTTTTTTTTACAAACATGAGACAATTTTTTTCTCTTTTTCTTTTGTCTTTTTCAACACTGTAAAGGGATCATTAGACAGATTCAGATATTGGGATCACTTCAACAAGCCAACATGAGAGAAGATGAGAAACCACATGCAGAGGACAAATTCTGTGGTATTTCCAG